TCCGTGTAAACCCCATGTGGGTACCAGTCTTGCCGTCTTTGAGTACAAGCTCAGCAAACATACACTATTGACTTATCCCATGTTCTCACGGGGTGGAAGGTTCTCCTGCATATCTTGCCTCGGGGCTGGGCGCATGCTGCTGTCACATCCATGAGGTGGCACACGGGCAGCTTGGCTACTTACTTGCTGCCAGTGCCCATCATCGCTCCCACATCAGGGTGTGTTCTAAGAGAACCTGAGACTGGGTTCTTCTAGTCTTTTTATTTAAAGAAATTTTTTTTTCGAGACAGGGTTTCTCTGTGTAGTTTTGGTGCCTATCCTGGGTCTCGCTCTGTAGACCAGGCTGGCCTCGAATTCAGAAATCCACCTGGCTCTGCCTCCTGAGTGCTGGGATTAAAGGCCTGCGCCACCACCACCTGGCTCTTCTATTTTTTTTTTTTGTTGTTGTTGTTGTTTTGGTTTGTTTTTGAGTCAGGGTTTCTCTGTGTAGCCCTGGCTGTCCTGGAACTCAGGTCTGTCTATCTCTTGTGGGATTAAAGGAGTGTGCATCCAGCTAGATGGGTGGTTTCTTGATTGTTGTCCCATTTGCCTGGACTTTGGGCTCCTCTGGGCTGGTCTTCAGCCCTGTTCACCTCTCTGTTCTGGCATGCAGCCTGGCCCTGAACACTCACCAAGTGCTGCCAAGGAAAGGAACACAGGCAAGAGGAGAGCAGCTTTACTTCCCTGTTCCTCTTGTGCGTGGGCTGCCATGAAGCGGGGGGGGGGGGGCAGGAGAGGTGGGGTGTGACCACCAGCTTCGGGGGGGGGGGTTGGCCATGTACTTCCTTGTTGCTGTGTGCTAGTGTGAGCAGGACTGCCTGCCTCATGGGGACAGGATGGTGACAGGTGCCGACTCAGACTAGGAAACTGAGTATGAGCACAGCGCAGGGACTGGAGCCTTGCAGCCTTCTCTCAGTTTCGGGGGTCCTTCAGGGTCCCCGAAGGGCCTCTGAGGCAAAAGCTACAGAGTTAAGGGCACAAGATGGGACGAACAGGAACAGAGAGGTGTAGCAGGCACGTGAGGAGACTGACAATAGGGGCCGAGGTGACGGCCATAGCCCGCAGGGCCCCCTGGGGTCCCTGCTCTGCTGTAGGCGCCCTCCCTACAGGGTCTCACTATGCAGACCAGGCTGTCCTGAGCTCACAGAGCTCTGTCTGCTTCTGCCTCCGATGTGCTGGAATAAAGGCGTGCTCCCCCATGCCTGGTCAACTTACCTCTTTTAACTTTGGGCTGAGTTTTTTTTTTTTTTTTTTTTTTTTTTGGTTTTTCGAGACAGGGTTTCTCTGTGTAGCTTTGTGCCTTTCCTGGAACTCACTTGGTAGCCCAGGCTGGCCTCGAACTCACAGAGATCCGCCTGGCTCTGCCTCCCGAGTGCTGGGATTAAAGGCGTGCGCCACCACCGCCCGGCTGGGCTGAGTTTTTTAAGTTAGGAAAGTCACGCACGGTTGCTGAGGAAGACGCGCAGGGCAGGCTGTGTCTTATGAAGGACACTCCTCACCCCACTCAGGATTCTCCCTCAACCCCTTTAGCCCTTCGGTCTGCACTGTCTGGCATCTTCTATGATACATAAGGTTTTCGGGCTTTTTGCTGAAACAGGCTGGCCTGGAACTTGTGATTCTCCTGCTCCAGCTCCCAAGTACTGGGATTACAGGTGTGAGCCACCAGGCCTGGCTCTACCTTACCCTTAGAAACATTTTTTTTGGGGGGAGGCAGGCAGTGGTGGTGCACGCCTTTAATCCCAGCACTCTGGAAGCAGAGGTAGGGGGATCTCTGTAAGTTTGAGGCCAGCCTGATCTACAGAGTGAGTTCTAAGACAGCCAGGGATACATAGAGAAACCCTGTCTCAAAAGACAAAAAAAAAAAACCAAAAAAACCACAAAATTCAGCATAGTAGCGTACACCTTAAATCTAGCAATCGGGACGCAGAGGCAGGTGACTCTGAGACCAGCCTGGTCTATAGAGTGAGTTCCAGGATAGCCTGGTCTACAGAGTGAGTTCCAGGACAGCCAGGGCTATGTAGAAGGCCTGGTCTCGAAAAACAAAACATTCAAAACAAAACCTCTTATTATTTATTACTAGGTATGTGACCTGTGTGTCGGGGATGTGTGTGCCATGGTGCACATATGCAGGGAGGGGACAAATGTCAACTGGTTCTCTCCTTCCATAGGATCGAACCCAGGTCTTTGGGCTTGTGCAGCAAGAGCCTTCGCCCACTGAACATCTCACTGGTCCCTACCTTTTCCTTAAAAAAATTTACATTGCGTGCGCATGCATGCGTGCGTGCGTGCGTGCGTGTGTGTGAGTGTGTGTGAGTGTGTGTGTGTGTGTGAGTGTGAGTGTGTGCGAGTGTGTGTGTGAGTGTGTGTGTGTGAGTGTGTGTGTGCGCGCGCGCGTGTGTGTGTGAGTGTGCGTGCGTGCGTGCGTGTGTGTGTGCGCGTGTGTGTGAGTGTGTGTGCGCGCGTGTGTGTGTGTGAGTGTGTGTGTGTGTGCGTGTGTGTGTGTGTGTGCGCGTGTGTGTGAGTGTGTGTGTGTGTGTGTGTGTGTGTGTGAGTGTGTGCACATGTGGAAGTCAGAGGACAACTTGGAGGAGTTGGTTCTCTCCTTCCACTCTGTGGGTTCCAGGGAACTGACCTCAGACCAGCCGGCTTGGGAACAAGCACCTTTATCCACTCACGGAACCATTTCACTGGCTCCTATTTTATCCTTTTTTTTTTTTTTTTGGTTTGTTTTTGTTTTCCGAGACAGGGTTTCTCTGTTTGTCCTGGAACTCACGCTGTAGCCCAGGCTGGCCTCGAACTCACAGAGATCCGCCTGCCTCTGCTCCCGAGTGCTGGGATTAAAGGAGTGCGCCACTATGCCACCAGGCTTACTTCATCCTTTTTAGGGACTGCAGTGTTCTCCTGAGACTCTGGCAGGCTTACCTAAGAGGTTTCTCACAGAGGGTGACACCCCACTTCTGTTCCTATGACTGCGTAAATAGACTGGGTCACCTCGGTGCTGCTCCCGGTGTCCCCACCACCTGTCCCCACAGTCAGTGCTGCTCCCGGTGTCCCCACCACCTGTCCCCACAGTCAGTGCTGCTCCCGGTGTCCCCACCACCTGTCCCCACAGTCAGTGCTGCTCCCGGTGTCCCCACCACCTTTCCCCACAGTCAGTGCTGCTCCAGGTGTCCCCACCACCTGTCCCCATGTCACCTGGCTCCGCTGCAGTCACTGCACTTTGCCTGGCACGTGAACATTACAACCCTTGCAGTGGGCAATCACTCGTGTGAGGTGTGTGCAAAATCCCAGGACCCGACACTTCCTGCCCAGACCCAGATATGGGGACAAAGTTGCCAGGGCAAGCGGCCAGGCCAGACCTCGTGCCCTTCTCCTCCCTGTTCAAAACTTGTCTTCAGGACCTTCCTGACACCTGCCACACTGTCCCCAGGGTGTCTCCTTCCCTCTGGCCCTTCTTCTCTAGCACACACTCTCTCCTTTCTCTCTCCAGGGTCTCTGTCTGTCTGTCTGCCTGCCTGCCTGCCCTCCTCTCTCTCCAGGGTCTCTCTGTGTATCTCCGGCTGGCCTGTAGCTCACTACGTAGGCCAAGCTGGCCTTGAACTCACAGAGATCCTCCCTTCTCTTCCTCCCGGGTGCTGGGATTACTAGTGAGCAGCACCACACTTGAGCCCCTCTGGTCCTTCCTTGAGCTGGAAGCAGCCTGTGACAGCGCTGAGTGAACTCGGACTCCTGGCAACCATCCTCTCTCCTGAGAACGCTTGTGTCTCTATAGCCAGCACAGCCACCACCTCGAACACACAAGAACACAGGCTACTCTGCACCCCCACATCACACCACAACCGCTGGGGTCACTCTGAGGCTGTGGGGGGACCAGCAGGACCGACAGCGCCTCCCACCCCACCCACTCAGAGCTTTAAAGAGGAAAAACCTTGCTTTGCATGTTTCAGGTGACAGGGCTCGAGGGTTTGATCCCTTCCTGGTTGCAGGCCCAGGCAAGAGCCTGTTCGACCCCACAGCTGTCACCCCAGGTGCCACTGTCACTTGCGGACACCGGAGGCCAGAGCCCATCCCCCTGGAATGGCCTGTCCAGCTGAAACCACCACAAGCCACGTCTTAGGGAGTCCATCCCTCCTGACTGCGAGGCTCTCTGAGGGCAGAACCCGGGGCCGTCACATGCACTGGCCCAAGACGCCCAGAGGAGAGGCTGCGGGGGGTGGACAGCGGAGGGGCCTGAGCAAGCAGGGCCAGCCGGGGCGGGGGGGACACAGTGTGTAAGCTGGACATGGGGGCACGAGGATGAGGCAGATGTCAGGGTTGTGCTGGCCACCAGAGAAGAATGTCACCACTGCCACCAACAGAGGGTCAGTGAAATGACCCAGCAAGTGGAAAAAGCCAGCGAAACCTGATGTACAAAAGTGACCCACGTCACAGTCACTCATTCAAACCACTTGGCATTTCTGCTCAGTCATGGAGGAGCACAGACCTAGTGCCAGGCCTCCTGGGTTAAGCGGCTTACAACAAGTGCAGGCATGCCTCCCATTCCTGGTGCAGTCAGGACCAGGGATGCAGCCCGGTGGCAGCGTGCCCGCCTAGCATGCACAAAGCTCTGGGTTCAATTCCTTCACCAAAGCCTGCTACCAAATGTTGCCTGGGGAGGTGTGTCTGTGGGGGTCAGAGGCACTCACTCGATGACTAGCAGTGACAAGATGATGATGACATGTTCTACACACACTCTCCCATCTCCAGAAAAGCCCACATCCACCTGGCCTGCCATTCCTGTCTGTTTCCAGAAGGGGTGTGATTTTCCGGGGGGGGCTCACCAGCTGGTCACTGACATGGTGGGACCCTGGACTCCGGCATTAGTCACTGTCACTCCACTCCTCAGTACCCCACCCGCCCCAGGGAGTTCACAGAAACCTGGACCCCCACCCACCCTGCTCTGCCCCCAGCCTCCTCCACACCTGTGCAGCTGCCGGAAGGAAGCATGTGCTCTGGTCCCCCGTTGAGCTCCAGGGCTCCTTCAGTCGTGGCCACTTTCTCTTTCTCCTCTTCCCGGGCCTCAGGGGCCTCCTCCTGTGGCTGCTCCATGGCTGACCCCCACTCGGCGTGGCGCCTGCAGGCCTGGTCATAGCTCTGGCACCATCTGGGTCTGAGCGCAGATGGACCGCCTGGGCAAGGGGAGACAGAAGAGGTCAGGAGAGAGGGTGGTGGGCATGAGGGGGGTGGTGGGCATGGGGGGGGTGGGCACAGGGGAGGGTGGTGGGCACAGAGGAGAGGGTGGTGGGCACAGGGGAGGGTGGTGGGCACAGGGGAGGGTGGTGGGCACAGGGGAGGGTGGTGGGCACAGGGGGAGGGTGGTGGGCACAGGGGAGGGTGGTGGGCACAGGGGAGGGTGGTGGGCACCGGCACCCTGAGGCCACTGCCACATGGCAGTGCTGCTCCAGTCCTCTCAGTCCCTGAAGGGCTTTCTGACTTTTTTGACAGGGCTTTACAAAGCCCAGGATGGACTGAATTGGCTATGCAGCCAGAGATGACCTCTAACTGCTGACCCTCCTGTCTTCCAAGTGCTGGAATACAGGTGTGAGCCACCACCTCCAGAGGTCTACACTTCTCGCACTGTCATCCGGCTCTCGGGGCAGGTTGGCAGGACTGAGGCAGTTTTCATTAACCAGATATGCTGACACTCTGCTGCGCCATCTCTACCTGCTTCCCCGCTCCAGGGGCCTCATCAATTGCCTGAGCAGAAGCGGAATGCTCCCAACTCTCCGGCACCCCCTGGAGGTCCCAATACACACTGCAGCCCCTACCCCACTCCCCAGCACGGTGGCTCAGAATGCAGCTGCCCAGTCACTCACTGTTCTGAGGGGCGTCCTGTCCTGCCTGTGGCCACTGTGGGAAACAGCGTGGACTTCTGTACGTGTGTGCGCATTATTATTTTTCATTTGTTTGTTTTGTGAAATAGGTCTCTTTATGCAGCCCTGGCTGTCCTGGAATAGTCCCTTTGTAGACTAGGCTGGCTTAGAACTTAAAAAGGGGGTTATCTTTTCAATCCCCTGGCTATGACACGAAGCCAAGCTTAACAGCTAGTGTTGCCCAGCAAAGCACCTCCATGCTCGGGTTCTTTGTCCCTCACACTTAGCTCCATCCAGCCATCTGAGGCCTTCCCCTGCCCGAGGCCTTCCCCTGCCTGGATGGCACACTGGCCTCTTAGAGGCTGTACTCTGGGCAGCTGGATACGCAGCCTGGAAGTCTAGGTGGTAGGGAGCTGGAAGTTGGGGATCTGTGGATCTGGAAGATTCCCAGTAAGTGACAGTCACAGGAAGGGTGTGAGCATCTCCTCACAGGACACACACACACACACACACACACACACACACACACACACACCCCTCAAATCAGGAGGAAAAGATGACGTTTTTGGTCAGCTGTGAAAACAACTGAGAAGGCACCAACATGGAAACTGGCCCCACATCAACACCAAGACAAAGGCCAGATGCTCCAGAGAGTCAAGTCATAGCAAGGATATGTAAAGTAGGGCAGCGGCGGTGGCGGATGCACTCCGTGGGGAGAGTGCTTGTCCAGGGCACACAGCCTCTGGGTTGATCCTCAGCACCCATTAACCAGGTGTGGTGGTGCACATCTGTAATCCTAGGACTCGGGAGGTGGAGGCAGGAGGGTCAGAAGCTCATGGTTATCCCCAGCTATAGAGTTGGAGGCTAGCCTGGGCTACAGGAAACCCTACCAAAACAACAAAACCCCTCATTAAGTGCACAAATGATGTATTGACATAAAAGTCACCTCACAGTAAGTAAGATGTAGGCCTGACAGTAAACCCATAAAAGCTTTATGGGTGACAAGATTACAGGTAAAAGAATAATACATTTAATTATATAAAAGTATAAAAGTTCTACATAATTAAAGGCCATTTAAGGACAAACAAAGTAAAGGCAGACCCGGGCTTTGTTTGTAGCTCAGCTGCCTCTCAAGCACCCAGGAGGCCCCGGGTTGGTCCCCAGCACTGCACAGACTGGCTTGTGGTCTGCCTTGGAGGACAGAGGGTCAAAAGTTCCAAGGTTAGCCTTACTCTCTAGCAAGTTTGAGGCCAGCCTGGGCAACATGAGACACTGCTTTAAAAACCAAGCCCGCCGGGCGGTGGTGGCGCACGCCTTTAATCCCAGCACTCGGGAGGCAGAGCCAGGCGGATCTCTGTGAGTTCGAGGCCAGCCTGGGCTACCACGTGAGTCCCAGGAAAGGCGCAAAGCTACACAGAGAAACCCTGTCTTGAAAAACCAAAAAAAAAAAAAAAAACCAAGCCCAATCAATCAATCAATCAATCAATCAGATAATAAACAGAGAAAAATACTTTCAACTTTTATCCAAGTGCTAAATTCCTTAAAATAGCTTATAAATTCCTAAGTAAAGACTAGTAACCCAAGCCAGATATAGTGGCCACACCTCTAATCACAACACAGGAGGCTAGCCTTGTCTACATGGAGAGTTCTAAGGCAGTCCCCAGTCCTGAGACATGTTTTTCAAATAAAACACACTAATATAAGGGGATGTGGATTCACGGTAGAGACTGGGCAATGTGGTGGCATTGTGTTCCCCAAAATATTGTGTACCCTAATAAACTTATCTGGGGTCAGAGAACAGAAAAGCCACTAGATACTTAGGATAGGCAGTGGTAGCACATGCCTTTAATCCTAGCATTCCAGAGGCAGAAATCCATGTGTTCAAGGATATAGCCAAGCATGGTGACAAACGCCTTGAATCCCAGAAAGTGAGCCTTTAATCCCAGGGAGTGATGGTAGAAAGCAGAAAGATATATAAGGCGTGAGGACCAGAAACTAGAAGCATTTGGCTGGTTAAGCTTTCAGGCTTCTAGCAGCACAGTTCAGCTGAGACCCATTCGGATATGAGGACACAGAGGCTTCCAGTCTGAGGAAACAAGATCAGCTGAGGAGTTGGCCAAGTGAGATTAGCTGTGGCTTGTTCTGTCTCTCTGATCTTCCAGCATTCACTCCAATAACTGGCCTCGGGTTTGATTTTATTAATAAGAACTTTTAAGATTCATGCTACATCGCAAGCATGTGTGAAGTGCTGGGTTTAACCCTAGGTGCTGAGAAGCAACAAAAATAAGCCCCTAAACAAGAAGGCACTCCTCGGACACTGCTATTGAGCATGTGATTGGGAGAAATGGCATGGCCTTGTGGAGGGCAACTGGACCATCTATTACTAATCCCACTGGATGAGAATAAGACCATTACCATAATTTTTTGAGCCAAATTTGAAGCAAGTTTTATTGACAATTTATTGGCCAGGTCCATGGATACTAGCCATGTCCATGCCCAGGTTAGCCCTCACACTGTGTAAGGACAAGTGCACATACTTTGACCCAGAAGCCCTGCTGTGGGCTGTGTGTATGGCTGCACTGCCATAAGCAGAGTGATGGAGTGTTGGTACAAGGCCAGCCTTCCATGATCTGGGGTGGGGACAGGTTAAGAGGGCTCTGACAGCCCCAGACAGAACGGCTATGGGGCTGACACAGAAGCACTGGTAATACAGTCCACAATCCGCAGGACAGAGCTGTCCAGGATGGGGTCAGGGGAGAGGAAAGCCGGCCCAAACAGCTGCTCATCTGGCCTCCCACCTCCCAACTTCCTGGCCACCATGATGTGAACTGTGCCTCCCCACCACAAAGGAATGAATCCTTTGAAACTGTGAGCCAAATAAGGAATTCTCCCCTTTAACGTGGTCTCTTGAATATTTTGGTCAGAATACAGACAGAAAGCTAATAACATAGTTATCTTTTCTACAAACAGAATCAGGATAAAATTAAAAGGCAAAACTAACAGTAATGTGAAGAAGGAATGCACAGCCTTCAACTCGCAAGTCTCTATTTTCCAGAAGTCAGCTAGAGATGTCAATTATAAAATTCAAATGACCACTGGGATACAACCGACAGTGTGGGTAACTTCCAAACCAGGACCGCAGGGCGGGGGAGACGTGTAAAGCCCCAGCTCGGGGGCTGGGGAGATGGCCCGGCTGGGGAGATGGCCCGGCTGGGGAGATGGCCGGGCTGGGGAGATGGCCCGGCTGGGGAGATGGCTGGGCTGGGGAGATGGCTCCGCAGCCAAAGGCACTTGCTGCCAAGCCTGAAGATGCCAGCTGAATCCGTGGGGAAGGGGAAGGAGAGAAATGACTTGTGCAAGCCTCTTCTGACTTCACTGGTGAACTGTGATATGCTCATAACACACACACACACGTGATAATAAATACGCTTGCTGACTGACAAAGACAAGGAAGGAGACCTGGAGACGTAACTAAAAGCAATGAGGGGGTCCTGGACAGATCCTGGACAGAAAGAAGACACAGTCTGTATTGTGCCATTCCAGCTGCAGAGATGTTTGTCCATCTAAGATGTTCCGTGAGGGAATCTGGGTGAGGGGCACGTGGAACACGGCACATCTGCAGAGCTTCTCTCTAACAGGACACTTACTTCAAACGCTTTTACTGTCTTAAAGCTTTTAAAGGAAGTTGGCCGTACCGGAGACGGGATATTCCAGCATCCATGTGGCAACTCACAACTGTACAACCCCAGTTCCAGGGGACCCAACATCCTCTTCTGGCCTCCATGGGCAATGTACACGTGATGCACAGACATGCATGCAGGCAAAATACCCACATATATAAAATAAAAACCTAAAATGTAATTTTCCTGAAAACTGGAACAACTCTGCAACTGGGCACCCATGGCACAGCCTGGTGCCCATTCCCAGAGTTAACTATGCCCTTGACTCCACCTCCACTACACTACTGGATTGTCCTGGCACTCCATTCACTCATGCTGCTCTGCAGAGGAGAGAAGCTTGGTTTGCCATAAACAGATCTTAAGGACCAATGCCAACCCCTTACCCCAAGGCCCGACCCCTCACCCCAATGCCCGACCCCTCACCCCAATGCCCGACCCCTCACCCCAATGCCCGACCCCTCATCCCAAGTCTTAAACTTAGGAAATCACAAGAGCTGGGATGCTCAGCAATGCCGCCTCCTCCCTGCATGTGGTCCTTTACAGGGCAGCCAGGTGTCATTCCCACTTGTCTTCTGAGTCCCCTCTTTTTTCCTGCTGGTTGAGCCTTCTCAAGGCCAGTAGTGTGTCTGGAAGAAC